CAATGCTGGAAGGTCCCAAGCTCACTTGCCCAGTCACCCTCCCCTTCTTCCAAATCAGCACAGACTGGGCAGTTGTCCTGCCTTCCAGGAAACATGGAAGACAGGAGGGAAAGAGGAACATAATGCAAAAGCTTGAAGGCCAACAGCAGTGGTACTTGGACAATGGAAATGAGATAATGAAAGTGCACACATCCCCTGAGGTCCTCCTCCAGGACCTGCTGTCACTGCAGACAGGAGGAACAATGATTCCCACCCTAAGTGAGGCACACTCTGGATGAAGACACTCTGGATGTCTTGTAAGATTTTGTTACATTTCAAGGGTAGAAGTGTAGGGTGGGAGGCAGGGTTGGAATTAAGGGTGAAGTGCTGGGTCGAGACCTAGCTCCATAGCAAATTCAGGAGCCTTATTCTCAGTCTGTAAATGGTGGGCTGGACAAGGTGTTTTTTGATATTCTGGCCTGACATAGACATAGACAGGAAAACAAGGGGCACAGACAACTGTGGTCTCCTGCCTCCTGGAGTTTCCTGAGACCTCTGAGGCTTGGAATGTCTGCCAGTAGGCATTTCTGCTTTCCATCTGCCTTCATATGCAGAATGTACCTGGAGCGGGCACAAAGCCTCTGGGGACAGGGGCTCTCTGACTCTCAGGAGGCAATTATGGTGAACTCAGCAGAGTCCACTGTTACTCCCCTCAGTGACAACTTGGGGTCTGAAGGCATGGAAAAAGGACACCAGAGGGATAAGAAGACAGGGAGTTCCTAGAACATGGTCTGGGGGGTGCACTCACCCACAGAGATGTCTCCCAGCTGCTCAAGCCTCAGCTTCCTGTCCTATAGACCCACAGTCAAGACAGCAAACAGAAGCTCATCAGGGTCATCTGCTTGGATTCTTTCTATACCAGAGGTGGCTGTGTATCTAAGCTGTGGTCCCTTGATCTCCTGAACTACAGGACACCACTGTGGATAAGCTTGGGACCCTTCAGCATGGAGAATGGTATATGACCTGGATGGAATGTTGTGTATCTGGCTGTACCTCTCTAGACCTTGAAATATCAGAATATTAGTGAACTTGCCAAGGATATATGATGAAGAAAGATCCGGAATGTCTTCTCTTTGGTACTCACAGCTGTACCTTAGTTCCCAGGATACTACCTGGAACTGAATAATAACTTTTGTCAATCAGAAATGAGATCCAGCCTGGAGCAGGAGCCATTGTGGCCTGGATTACCCAGTTTCTGAGGTAACCTTTTCTACTTCTACCTCTGGGTAAGCCATTGTGAATCTTGAGTGAGTCATGGCCCCTGAAAATTCAGCCCGTTGGAAGCAAGGATCCAGATGGACATCAGAAGTCAAAAGATGTCAGGGCAACCAGAGTGCTTGAGATCCTGCTCTTTGGACCCAACCTTTCACCTGCTTTTGGAATGGGAAAGGGTTTGTTATCCAGACCAGAGCCAAGACATACAGGTCTGTGGGACTGGGGCAAAGGTTTTCTGTGGCCTGATTTTTAATCAAAAACAACCTATTGCTTATTTTTGGAAGTGTGGACTCTACTCCTCTGTCAGGTAAATGACCCATGAAAACCTTGAACTGTGACTTAGCTTCCTTTGCTAGTTGAGCAAGCTGGAGACTCCAGGCCCATCCCATTAGCAGAGGCCAAAGATGGGGAGGACTCTGGGGCAGGGGGATCCTTGGTGGAGCTCTGATCATCTGGCCCTTCACCACTTGCTCTCCCAGATGGGGCTGGAGTGTTCCATTGTTTCTACATGTAGCCTCAGACCCAATTGTCTTTGTCCTTTGAGCTGCATGGAGTTGAAATAATAGGGACATTAGCCAGTGAGAGAGCAGCAAAGGAAACCCAACCTCTAGGAACTGGCAGAAGCTCAGACTGCTGAACCTGCAGTTCAGGGTCTCCCACTCCCTGTCTACAGAATAACTCTTCAGCCTCACCCCCAGCTGCTCACTCATGTGACTTTTCTCCTTTCAGTTAAATTATCTGCCTCCTGCTGTCCTCCCTACTGTGCCCATTCTGTACCAATGGAGTAGTGCTCCTACTTGCTCTCTCTGCCCTAGCTAAATCCTGCCCCAGACACAGTCTCACCACTTGCACATGGCTTCCCCAAGCTCTCAGGCTTACAATGAGAGAGATCTTCCTCTCCAGTAGGTAGCCTGTGCTTCCCTGTGATGCGACTGTGACACCTGACCCTGCTATTCATCTCCTGTGGGATACACTCTGTGTTGGTCGGACCTCCTCTAGGGCATAGTACTGTAATTCCTCAGCACGAAATCAGTGGAGCTCTGTGCACAGGAGGGATTTTAGGAAAACTTGGTGGAACTGGTGACAACTAGTGTTATGGGATTAAGGTGGCTGGTCTGGGTTGCATGGGCCTAGGGAGCCATCCACCTGGGAGGCCTTGTGCAGTCTGAGTGCTAGCTCAAGGGTTCCCTCACTTGGCTGCACCCCAGAACCCCCAGATGCATTCACTCCCTAAGGTTCTAGATATGTATGTGGATAGCTTGGAAATGTCTCCAGTTACTGCTGGCCTGGGCAGATTCCACTGGGAAGACCAGTCCTTATAACCCTGAGCCCAGTGTGAGAGAATGGGAGCCCTAGAGCAAGGACTATTAGAACAGTGGTGCCCTGCAGAGCTCTTCATCTAGGTGAGAAGTGGCTTGTAGGATCCTGGGGAGTGTGCACCTGTAGAGATGAGGTCTGCCCATCCCTGTCCCATGGATCTGGTCTGGCATGGGCACTGGACTACCAGGTTGTTCCAGATCTTTGCACCCTTTGATGGGAGCAGTCACATGGCCCAGGAGCACAGGCCTGCTATCCATGAGAGCCTAGCAGGGCAGGGGGATTGACTGACTGTGCCTCTCACTTTGTGTTTCAGTGGCATCTCAGAGACTGTGCCTCTGTCCACGGTCAACAGACAGTGCTCATCAGGACTGTAGGCAGTGGCCAACATAGCTCATAAGTTGGGACTGGGCTGTGCCCTTGGCCAGGGCCTGGGCTTAGTCTTGCCCCTAAGCGTTAGGGTCAGAGATATCACTGTCTCCTGGGCCAGCAGTAGCATTTCTGAGAGGACTCTGAGTACAGTGAGTGCAGGAGCTCCCCTTGCCACTGCCCCACACCTCCAGGACACCCCTGGATTTTTGTCTCTGGGGACTGAGTGGCACCTAGAGATCAGGTAGGACAGGGACTCTGCTGCTCCCAGGACAGACAGACCTTGGTCAAGGATGGTTATAAAATGCTTTTGTTGCAGATGGCATCAGTAGGTAGCAATATCTTATGACATTGGCATGGCCTGTGTATAACACTTGCTTTCTGCTCCTTAACCAATGGTGACAATCAAACTACTTTCCCTCTGGTCAGTTCTCAGGGGCCATGATTTGAGGATCATTCCCTGGTTCCTTTAGGTAGTTGGCTTGGTGTAGGTCCCTCTTGATGCAGCCTAGGAGTGACCCCCATGGCTACTCAGGGGAAAAAACCCTGCCTGAGCACTTGCAGGTAAGGACAGGTAGCCTCTAAGGTTCTTCTCACAATTTTTCCCCCTTTTTTACTGCTTTGGATAGTGAATGCCAGAGGGTGTGACTAGGGAGCTACATTCTAGATCTTTTTTGTTTTTGAGGGAAGATCTTGCTAAGTTCCCCTCACTGATCTGAAACTTGCAAACCTTATCCTTCAGTCTCTTTGGTAGCTGAATTACAGATACCGCACCTGGCTCTCTTGAAAACTTTTCAGGCTTGAAAAAGTCTCTGTTCTTTGGAAAAATAAAGCTGAGGAGGCTTTGGCTGCCTCAGGAGGTGAGTAGCACTGGTTCTGACCTTTTGGGCTGCCTTGGGATCCTTTCTGGATGTTTCTGGACAGAAAGCATCACTGGTCCTTGACCAGGGCTGAGATGACCTCCACTTGGTTGCCTGGTCTGTGTCTTAGTTGGAAGAGATCCAAAGTCCACAAACAGGGACTCTTGCAGGGCAAAGGTCACTGCATCCCCTGCCATTTAGTGTCTGTCACCTTCCCTGGTCTCACTGTGCAACAGATGCGAGTGACGTAAGAAGCATGACTGGAGCCTCGTAGGTTCCTCTGGAGGCATTTGATCACCAAGCAGGTTAAGAACTGTGATTCTGAGAAATCTTGGATCTTAGTGTCTGAGGGGAAGGGACAATACCACTGGCACTGGCACATGCTGACCATTGCCAAGCGTTGGAGGGTGAAGTATTGCTCAGGCCATTCTAGCTGGGAACAAGCTCTTGGCCTAGAATCCCTTAATTAGGGTGACCATGACAAACTGCCCACCATTCAGGACCTCAGTATCCTCCTGTATAAAAGGGGACACCTACCTAAGTGCTATCTAGGTTTTTAAGAGAATTAAATCACATGTAGTGCTCTAATGCATGAAAATAGTTCAAATTAGCATTGTAAGCATGGAAGCACTGCCAGGGCCACAAGTTATTCTGTAGGCCATATGCTTCTTCTCACAGTCCATTTTGAGGAGAGTATAGTCCTCTCTGAACAGGCCAGTGTGCTTTCCTATTGGCCCCCTCACACATCCTTTTCTGTGCAGGTCAGGTCACTCTTTGAGGTGATCATTGTGCTGACTTTAAACACATTTGCACTCTATATCTGGTGGACTCTGAGGGCAGGCAAGGGCTTAGAGGATGTGATCCCCACACTGCAGTTGACACTAGAAGCCTTTCTGTGAGAACTAAAAATTCACTGGTTGAGCAGAATTATATAGAACATCATCCTGCCCCTGGGAGTGTGGAGAGTGCAGTGAAAAGAACAGACCCAGCTGAGGGAAGGGGATGTAGGGACATGGACTGGGGGGTTCTGAACAGCTCATGGGATGGAGGAGCCCTCTCCAAGGCAATGGTCTTAGCCTAGGACCTGCATTGTAAGTCCCCAGAGCTAACACAAAAAAAGTTATACCACTGTGGAGACTAGGGCAGTTCAGACTCACTACTCAGAAGGAAAACACCCACCCTTGGAAAAATCCACAGCCATCAAGATGAGATAACATGTTTATTATGTCCATTCTATCCCCATTCATGAGACCACAGTTCCCTAGGATTTACATGGGGGCCTGGTGACGCACACTGGCTTTGTCTGGCCCAGCTAGAGGGGGCCTGATGGTAAGGACCAACACCCACCCACTCCTGTACTGTGTCATCAGTGTTCATAGTTTCCAAATTAGTTGAAGTGCCTCGATTTGTCCCCACCACCAGTGATGAATGTCCCACGTGGATTTGCTTCCCTAGAGTCACTATCTGGGTAGTGCCTTGAGCCAGGGACTCAGTTCCCAGGGTATTCGAAGACAGCAGCAGCTCCCATCCCAGTGCCAACGCACATGGACACCACTCCATATGCCCTGGGAGAGGGAACTAGGTTGGCTGGGCACAGGCACTCTGGGCAGAGGCCCAAACCCCTGACCACAGTCCTCGTGAACAGAGAATACAAAACCAGAAGACCAGATCTGTGGGAAATTAGTCCCCTGACTGCCCACCTAGGCACTCAGTGGCAGATACCCTCTGTAGGCCAGGTATCCCTTTCAAGGCTGACCCTCAGGGACAATAGAGATCATGTCCCTATATGCCCAGTTCAAAGTGCACATCTGTGCATATTGACCTCCCCAAGCTTTCACCCTTCGATGCCCCAGCTCAGCATCCCCCATGACACCCCACATCACCCCAAGGGGAACAGCCTCACCTCTTCCCACGGCGCTTCAGCTCATTCAGCAGCGTGATGACCTGTCGTGCCCCAGTGCAGCCCAGGGGATGGCCCAGGGCCACCGCTCCTCCCAGAGGGTTCACCTTCTCAGGGGGGATTCCTAGCTTCTCCACACAGTAGACAGCCTGGAAGGAGCCAGAGCAGCGCCTGGACACGCTGGCCCCCTCCCCTGCATGGCTTGTCCACTGGCTCCCACTGGTGCCCAGGGCCCAGGCAATGGGGAAACTAAGACTCACCTGGCTTGCAAAGGCCTCATTGATCTCAAAGATGTCCACGTCATTCACTGTCAGTCCTGCAGGTGAGGTTCAGATCTGAGCTGACAGAGGCCCATGGGCAGGCTTCCAGGTCTTCCCAGACCCCACCTATTCACAGGCCCACAATTGCCTAGTGTGCTGTCACATCAGACAGGTGAGTCAGCCTCAGCTATGGGTCACGAAGCCCTTGGGTATGGAGTGCCAGCCTGCCCCATCTTTACTCTGCAGCACCCGCAGTTCTACCCCCATTACTCACCCCCAGCCCCAGCAGCAGGCCATGAGGGGACCCAGGTCTAGGGTCTGAAGGAGCCACCTGACCTGCTTTCTCCAAGGCTGCAGGGATGGCATATGCAGGTCCAATGCCCATGACATCAGGTGGGACTCCAACCACTGCATAGGACCTCAGGACCCCGAGGATGGGGAGGCCCAACTCTTCTGCCTTCGACCTCCGGGCCAAGAGGATGGCAGCTGCTCCATCGCTCACCTGGCTAGAGTTTCCTAGGGAGAAAGAGTTGGGGTGAGGAGGGATCAGGGCAGAGCAGAGGAGAACCAGCCCACTGTGGCAGACATGCAACTTCAGCCTACTAAATCTGGGGACATGTCTGGTCCTATGGGACATTTGAGAGACTGGCTGGAGGTCCTGAGGAAATGCTGCCCTAGGGAGAGGAGGATGCCTGGGGCCATCCAGAGTCTTCTTAGCTATCAACCCAGGCTGCCACCAGGGGTTGCCAAGGGACCTGGTCTGCCCCAGACTCCAGAGCAGAACAGCCAGCCTGGTGACAGTCCCTGGAGGCAGCCCTACTCCAGCATCCTGGCCTGTACTCACCAGCCGTGGTGGAGCCGCCATCCTTGAAAGCTGGCTTCAGTTTGGCTAGGCCCTCCATGGTGGTGTTGGGGCGGATTCCCTCATCCTGGGACACAGTGATGCTCCTCTTGGTGCCCTTGTCATCGTGGATGGTGGTGGTTACAGGCACAATCTCAGCACGGAAACAGCCCCTGCTCTGGGCTCTTGCTGCCCTGCCAGCAGCAGACAGCCAGGCTCAGGCTCCCCTGGAGCTCCCTTCCTCCTGTCCCCACTCTGGCCCATTGTGGCAGACATGCAACCTCAGCCTGATAAATTCAGAGACATGTCTGGTCCTAGGGGACATCGGAGAGATCAGCTGGAAGTCCTGAGGAAACCTGCCCTGTGGAGGGGTAGCCTTTCTGGGGACATCCAGAGCCTCCTTTGCTATCAACCCCAGCTGTCCACATCCTGGCCGATTCCAAACTCAGTAGGGAGAAGGGAGCTTGCAGGTGATGTTTGCTTTTTAGAGCCCTTTGCCCCAAACTGAGCCTGTCAGTTGCCTCTGCTAGTCTGAGGCTGGAGCCCCAGGAACATTTGTGATGGCTTCTGCTAGTTTTCTGGGGTTAGTCAACATCTGAATTTCACCCCTTCCTGAGATTCCTCAAATCTAAAATGACACATCCTAATTTCTGATGTCTTTTCCAATTCAAACAGAATTGAACCCTGGGGTATTTTAGGGTTACCCTTACAGCGTATGTAAACTACAACACCTAGGGGCATTTCATTAGTAGGAACCAGCACTTCTAGCAAAACCCACAAGGCAACTTGACCCAAGAGGCTAACAGTCCCTGCCTTGGAGAAGCTCACTCCCTGTCTTTGCTGTCCTTCCTTAGTCTGGCCAGGATTGTCCAAACCTGTTGGCTGTTGCCCCAGAGGCCTGAGCCCCTGTATTTCTGTGACATCGGCCCTAGCCCTGTCTCAGGATGCTTCCCCAGACCCAGGCCTGCTCCAGAAGCTAACACAGCAGGTCCACAGCATAGTTGACCCTACACTCTAGGTCCCTGAGAAGCCTCTGGCTACCACATTCAGTTCTGAGCAGCAGGTAAAGACGAATCCTCCTCCTCATTATGCCCCAAACAACCAAGGAGGAATTGAGGCCTAGGTAGGGAGAAGGTACTCCACATGGACAGTCAGCAGGAGAACAGGGAAGAGCCACCAGCTCAGAATGGCACTGCCCCCTTTCCATTCCCCAGCTGGGAGGCAGGAGGCTTGTAAACCCCTAGTACATAGCTGTACTCTTGGGACACATCCACCTCAGACCTCAGACCACCTAGGATGGCCTCACAACCTCACCGTCCAGTCCTTTCAAGGTTCTACCCCAAGCAGCACTCACTTCTGCTGGGAGGCCAGTGCAAAGGTATCCTGCTTCTCTCGTGAAATGCCAAACTTCTCAGCCACGTTCTCTGAGGTTATCCTAGGACAAAAGTAGTACCCAGCTGGGCATAAGGCTGGCAGCATGGGGACCAGGGCCATTCATGCCACAGAGTCAGTACTGAGGAATCAGGCAGTGGCACTCCACCCCCAGCATTGGAATGGGGCAGACAGGGAGTCGCCAATGCCGGCCAAAAGCTCAGAGTTCATACACCAAAGACACCTCCTCACAAAAGAGGGAGGGCAGCCTGCATTGGCAGCAGAGCAGAAGAGAGTATGTTCCCTGGGTGAGCTGCCTCAGCACAGAGGAGAGGGGAAGGAAGGTATATTGGGGATACTAACTGCCACACTTTGCCAGCTTCCCCTATGCTTCAAAGACAGTGCTTTCATGTGGGGTGATTAGGATGCCCACGTCACCTCTGGAAAGGCCAAACCTTGGCTTTCTGCTCACCATGGCTGGGCCTGTCCTTGTCCTGGGAGCCCAGATCCATGGTTAGGCTTTGCAGTCTGAGCTTCTGTTCTTCACACTATCTTTGGAGATATGGTGTGTGGACTAGGCTAAGACACAGCCCTCTCCAGCCTCAACATGCGTGGGAGTCAGGCCTCCCTGTCCACAGCCTCTGGAGATGGACAGACCTTGGTGGCACTGGCTGCTGACCAAGCTACTGGCCTGATGCAGCATACTTCATAGGTTGCATCTGACAGGCCCCAAGGTCCCTCATCGGCATGGTCAGGGATGAAAAACTCCCCACTTGCAACACTAGGCTCCCATAGTATGGAGAGATACTGCTATCTGCCTACTTATGACTAAACACCTCAGAGGGGTCATGACAGGGTGGACTATTTTTGGAAATTTGGGTTCAGAGGAGATTTGGGGACCTCAGGAACAAGAAGCAAAAACAGCATCATGTGTCATGCTCAGAGTCCCTAAAGAGTAGATGCCACACACAGGAAGCAGGCCAAGCCTTGGCATCGCCAGTCATAGATGAGAAAATTCCTCAGCCTTCATATATACATGCTCAAATAGGACTTCAGGCAGGGGCAAAAGATACTCTGCAGGAACCAGATAAGATTCCCAGACTCTGCTGCTGACATATGTCCCACTCGTGTGGCCAGTGGCTGCTCCTGGAGAGACAGAGCTGAAGGGGCACAGGTACACAGAGCTATGGACGGGCACTCACCCCATGGGGATCAAGCAGTCTCTGGCCTTCTCATTCTCCAGCAAGCGTGAAGTGATATTTCCAGGGTTCCCTCTGTCAGCCAGGGACATGGACTCCACCCTGAGGAGAAGGAGGAGGGAGCTGAGCCCTAACAGAAACACACCCAAGGATACAGGACATGTGGCAAGTGTTGGGAAATAGCCTGGGAGTCCTCGGGAAGTGCGGTGCCCTGTCCTGTCCGGGAGGCACAGACAAGTGAGGCACAGCTGGGGCTAGGGGGCTGCTGAGCCCTGACTCTACCTGCACCCCAGGACAGAGCACTGCAGAGTCCACTCTCCAAGGGGCAGGGGCATGCTTCCCTATACATCTGCTGAACCAGCCAATTGGTATTCCCACAGAAAGCTTTGAAATAGACCTGACAGTCCAGAAAACTTATGCAGTAAATGCAGGCCCTGCCCTCGGGGACCATAATTTAGATGAAAAAGAGATAAATATCTTTAGTCAGGGCAAAGATCACATCTAAGAGCAACCTGACTTGCATGATAGGAGGTATGAGAGGAAAGCTAGGTGGCTTCTAAAAGTACTGTGAGGAGGGAAGCAGAAGGCTTCAAGACTCACAGTAAATGACCTTGACAGAGTGCTGGGGTGCTCACAACACTAGTTTCCAATATTTTTCAGGCATGAACGCTCTATAGCATTAGCTACAGGTACACATCGCCATGGTGTTAGTGATATTCATTGTTCCATTTAATCCTCTTAAAATCCTTGACAGACCTGAGGTAGGTATCCCCTTTTATAAATGATAACACTGAGGTCCTGAGTGCATTGTCACCCAACCTGGATCCCACGTTAGGCATTCTGGCTCCGGAGTTCACTCCCAAGCCCGATGCCAAGGCTCAAATCATCAGTCTCCTAGTACCACAGTCCATACCCTGATTGGGAATAGAAGCTCCCTTAGGAACTCATGAAGACCACACTACTTCTCCTCAAGTTACCCCCTTCTACCTTAGTAAGAAAGGGACACCAGAAACATCAAAGGGCAGACTGGGCTGTAGCTCTTGCCCTGCTAAAGTCCCTGATTGTGGTGTTGGCTCTATTCCAACTGGGACATAGGTTAGGACAACCCAGTACAGCTCAACATGAACCTGGATAGAGGCCAGAAATGCTTCCTGTCAATAAACACAGAAAGAAGCAGAAGCATGTCACAACCCAGGTTGATCACCTCCTGAGCCTGCAAAGGGCTCCTTCAGCCAGTCTTAAACAGCATCAGAAACTCCCATCCCCTGGCCCAAACCTGAAGGCACTGAAAAGAAAAAAAAAAAAAAAATCTGGAGCTACATTTCCTGCAAGAAAAGATGGAGTCATAGTTTGGGTGTTGGAGTCAGTGATTAATGTCTAATGGAGACATTAGATATCAGATTATGTTCCTCGGAGGCCAGTAGGGAGCCAGTGGTTTCCACCTGGATACCTAGGTAATTCAGAGGATGGACACCTGAGAAAATGAACAAACAGTCATAGAGGAAGGACTGCTCTGGTTTTAGAGAACTAAAACTTCCATTTCTCTCTCAGTTTAATCAAAAATCAGTAAGAGCTGGAGAAGAAAGTCTAGTGGCTATATTTTCCCATTATGCTACCCACATTTTCCAGCCTGACAGATTTCCAAGAGAGAAAGCTTAGAGGCCACCTTCCCTCCCCTGCTAGTATTCACATGTGAGCTTTTTCTGAGCAGCCAGAATTGGGGGCCACTCCTAGGCTGCATCTAGAGGGACCCACACCAAGCCAGCTGCCTAAAGGAACCAGGGAATGATTCTCAAATCATGGCCTCAAAGAACTGAGTAGAGGGAAATTAGTTTGATTGTCACCATTGGTTAAGGAGCTCTGGCAGAAAGAAATTCTTACCCACAGGCCATGCCAATGTCATAAGACCCATTTCTGATGCCACCTGCAACAAAAGCATTTCATAACCATCCTTGACCAAGGTCTGTCTGTCCGAGGAGCAGCAGAGCCCCTGTCCCATCTGTTCTCCCTCTAGGTGCCACACAGCCCAGCCCCAGAGACAAAGACCCAGGGGTGTCCTGGAGGTGTGGGGCAGTGGCAAGGGGAGCTCCTGCACTCTTTTTGTGCTCAGAGTCCTCTCAGATGCTTATTGCTGGCTCAAGAGACAGCAACATCACTGACACTAACCCTCAGGGGAAGGAATAAGTCCAGGCTCTGGCCAAGAGCACAACCCAGTCCCAACTTACCAGCTATGTTGGCTACTGCCTGCAGCCCTGATGAGCACTGTCTGTTGACCGTGGACAGAGGCACAGTCTCTGGGATGCCACTAAACAGAAGGTGAGAGGCACAATCAGTCAATCCCCCTGCCCTGCTAGGCTCCCATGGATAGCAGGCCTGTGCTCCTGGGCCATGTGACTGCTCCCATCAAAGGGTGCAAAGATCTGGAACAACCTGGTAGTCCAATGCCCATGCCAGACCAGATCCATGGGACAGGGATGGGCAGACCTTATCTCTACAGGTGCACACTCCCTAGGACCCTATAAGCACATGTTCTTCCATCTTATAATTCTCCTCAAGCTGAGGTGGGGAAGCCTGATCGGGCCATAGAGGTCCTTCTTTTTCTCCTTCTGGTGACTGGACAAAGACAACTAGACCTCTCTGCTTCCCTCAGAGAACAGAGCAGTGGGCTTGTTGCTGTGACAGGTCACCAGAGTAAAAGTCAAGTCTCAAATATATGCCAGCACCCATCCCCACCCTCCCTAGCCTTACTAATAATCACGAGGTTGGTCCTTCACATTCCATTCTCTCCCCATGGGCCACTTCTCACCTGGATGAAGAGCTCTGCAGGGAACCACTGTTCTAATAGTTCTTGCTCTAGGGCTCTCATTCTCTCACACTGGGCTCAGCTTGGGACTTAAGAGAACTGGTCTTCCCAGTGGAACCTGCCTAGGCCTTCAGTAACTGCGGACAGTTCCAGGCCCTCCTCATACATATCTAGAACCTTATGAAGTGAATGCCTTTGATGGTGCTGGGGTGCAGCCAAGCTTGGGAAGCCCTAAGCTAGTGACCAGGCCAGACTCTGCAAAGGGCAGATAGCTCCCTAGGCCTGTGCAATCTAGACCAGCCACCTTAATCCCATAATACCAGTTGCACCAATTCCATCAAGTTTTCCCAAAATTCCTCCTGAGCACAGTGCTCCACCAGTTTCATGCTGAGGAGCTACAGTACTGTGCCTTAGAGAAGGCCCAACCAACACACAGAGAATGTATCCTAGTGGAGATTAATAGCAGGGTCAGTGCCACAGGCACACTGCACACTGCACACTCTGCACTGCAGGGAAGCACAGGCTACTACTGGAGAGGAAGATTTCTTACTGCAAACCTGAGAGCTTGGGGAAGCCATGTGCAAGTGGTGAGACTGTGTTTGGGGCAGGATTTAGCTAGGGCAGAGAGAGCAGGTAAGGGTAGCACTCCATGAGGACAGGAGGAGGCACACAGTTAAATTGAAAGAAGAAAAGTCACATGAGTGACCAGCTGGGAGATGAGGCTGGGGGCTGTCCTGGAGACAGGGAGTGGTAGACCCCTGAACTGCAGGTTCAGCAGTCTGAGCTTCTGTCAGTTCCTAGAGGTTGGGTTTCCTTTGCTGCTCTCTCACTGGCTAATGTACCTATTATTTCGATTCCATGTAGCTCAAAGGACAAAGACAATTGGGTCTGAGGCTACATGTGGGCCCATCTGGGAGAGCAAATGGTGAAGGACCAGATGATCAGAGCTCCGCCAAGGATTTCCCCTACCCCAGAGTCCTCCCCATCTTCAGGCCTCTGCTAATGGGATGGGCCTGGAATTTCTACTTACTCAACTTAGCAAAGGAAGCTAAGTCACAGTTCAAGGTTTTCATGGGTCATTTACCTGACAAGAGGAGTAGAGTCCAAACTTCCAAAAGTAAGCAAGACGTTGTTTTTGAATACAAACCAGGCCACAGAAAACCTTTGCCCCAGCCCCACAGACCTGCATGTCTTGGCTCTGGTCTGGATAACACACCCTTTCCCACTCCTAAAGCTGGGGAAAGGTTGGGTCCGAAGAGCAGGATCCCAAGCACTGTGGTTGCCTCGACCGACATCTTTTGACATCTGATGTCCATCCTGATCTCCACTACAATGAGGTGAATTTTCAGGGGCCAGATCCCACTCAAGAATCACAATGACCACGCCAGAGGTAGAAGTAAAATAACTTACCTCAGAAACTGGGCAATCCGGGCCATGATGGCCCCAGCTCCAGGCTGAAGCACATTTCCTGTGGGAGAGAAAAAAGAAAAACTTTATTCAATGCTAGATGGTGTCCTGGGAATTAAGGGGCTGCTGTGAACCTGAAAGAAGACATTCAAGATCTTTCTTCAGGAATATCAATCATTAACTGGCTCACTTGAGGCTCTGGAATTTCAACATATGGAGTAAGGGGAGCCAGACGTCAGTTCATATATGAGCCCCAATGTTGGAGGGTCCCAAGCTCACATGCTCATGCACCTTCCTCTTCCAAAATCAGCAAAGGCTGGGCAGTTATCCTTCTTTTCCACATAACATGAAAGACATGAGGGAAAGAGGGACACAGTGCAAAGCTTGAAGGCCAACAGCACTGGCAGTCAGGCAAGTGAAATATTCTGAATATGCACACTTTCCCCAAGTCATCCTGCTCCAAGAACTGCTGTCACTGTAAAGAGGAGTGGCTTAAGTGAAGAACTCATTGGATGAAATGGTGTTATATACTATGTTGCTATAGTTCAAGGGAAGAGGTGTAGGGGTGGAAAACAGTGTTGAATCACAGCTCAAGGCCCTATGTTCAATCCTGTGTTGCAAATCTTCCACCAACCCCCATCCCCAGTGTCTCCATCTGCAAATAAGGTACTGAACTTGATGAGTGTTGGCATTCTCTCATCTCTGCTCTGGAATAGATACGATCCAGGGCACAGAGAACCTTGGCTTCAGGTCTCCGGAGTGCTCTGGAACCCTTAGTTGCTAGAAATTCTGCACTTGGGACACCTACTTTCCTTATACTTATTCGTCAAAATACATGAGGAGCAGCAAAATGTCTGCGATTGGGGGATGTATTGGCTCACAGGAGGAGATCACATTGAAGTCAGTGGACTCCACAGTTCCCTTCAGTGACAACTCGGGAACTGGAAGCGGGGACTGGAGGCGGGACCGGAGGCGTGGAAGCAGAATTTTGGAGGGAGGAGAAGACCGGGAAGCACCCTGTGCCGGGCCTGGGTGGTGCACTCACCCACGGAGATGTCCCCCAACTGCTCAGGCCTAAGCTTTACGTCCTGGAGAACTGCAGTCAAGACGGCCGACAGAAGCTCATCTGGGGTGGTGTCCTACAGCGGGATGCACAGCTGCGGTGAATCTGGCTTGTGATACCCACCGCGGCCAGAGAAAGCACTGCAGCACGCGTGTCTGCAGCCCGGAGGCTACTGAGTTTATGAACGGACCCTAGCCCCCACCGTCTCACCCCAGGCACCATTCCCCGGGGGGCCTCACCTTAAAGCCGCCGCGGCCCGCTTTGCCAATGGCAGTGCGCCGTCCGTGCACCACCACCACGTCCGCAGCCGAGGCTTGCGGGAAGCTACTGAAGCACGGTGCAGCCTGCAGCGCCGGGTGCGACTTAGGTCGGCCATTGAGGTGGCCCAGAACAACCTGCAGCCTCAACATTACGCCGCTGAGACAGTGCGACTAGTCTTGAGCCTCGCCCACAGAGTAGGAAATAAAGACTGCCCCCCGCGCAGGCGCGGACCCGCCCCTCAGCCTTTAAAAGCCTGTATACTGCCGACAGCCTGCCTGACGGATTTGATAGGCCCTCCCAAGGTTCCGCCCAACCTGCTTCAGCCAACCAGAAAGAGGGTTTTCTGAGGACAAGTTCGCCTCCCACTGGCCCTCCAAAGCCGCGCCCACAGGCACCACGGGGAACGTCTTTCTCTCAAAGTCCCGCCTACTACCTCAGGGCCAGTCAGGATGCGGACAATTGTGAAGCTCCGCCCATAAATGCTCTGGAAATATTTCCACCTTTGGCAGATTTTTTTGCAACCCAAACGGAGGCCTGTCCCCAACACCCTGCACATTTCTTGAAATCAACTGGGCTTCAACAGAGCCCTTCCCCCAAATCCCTGCCGACTGCCGGCTGTCAGTCAGAAGATGGGACCACCTGGAACCCCATCTGTGGCTTCTTGCTTTGGTTAGAGCTGGTAGTGAATTTCTGTTCCCCCATCCTAGTTAGTCCGCTTTGCTCTGCTCTGGATCCCAGCACCCAAGCTTGAGGACCTGAATACTTCTGAAAACTAGACCTATTCCAAAGGACTCTGGCTTTTCCAGAAAGTCTTTCCAGAAAAGAAGACAGTTTGGGATTCCTGGCCAACACAGAAAAATGGTTTTATGAAGGTGGTGACGTATGACAAGCTGTCTGGACAGAGGACATCCCACACTCATGTCAGTTTTACATCTGTTTGGGATGATTCAATTGGTGCCTATCCTCTCCTTCAGAAGGGTCCACACCAAGGATCCTATGTCCCTGGAACCTTGGTGTGCTTGACACTAGGTGATCAATAAATACCTGATGAACTAGTGAGTAAACCAGGGCTCCTCCAGTCTGGACTATGTCTTAAATTCTAAAGAGCAAGGTCAGGTGTTCCCCTACTGCCAGGTCTTTATCCGAGACCTGGGAGAGTTGTACTACTTTTGCTCTAGATACCAAAGGACCAGGGCACCCTGTGAATCCCTACTCTGGAGGTGAAAGGAGCTGGCTCATTGAGTGGGTTCCAAAGGGTTTGGCAGGGTCTTCCAGACAGCTGGGCCCCTCCTTGTGGGCTCAGGCCTCAACAGGGCAGAACCAGGAGTACCAGCCTCAAATCCAGCTGCTCAGGAGCCTGCTGCCCATCACCAGGTTGGGTGGTCCCAGGTACTGGGTCCTGGCCCTGCCAGTAGGTGGGAGCTGCTATTCTAGGATCTGAGGACCTGGTTCCAGCCACACATCTTCTGATATGTGGAGATCACCTGTGTCCTGACATCTTCCTTAGGATTATCTGTTGTTATAAAGCTATTGATCTATTTTAGGAAAGTATATTGTTTTTTCATTGTTGGTTCTAGAAAAATTGAAAAGTATATTTTTAAAAAACATCTATAATCCTAATCCAGAAACAAACTAGTGACATTTCAGCATGCTCAGACATTATCAGTGCCTGCAGCTTTCCCTGCAGTGGTCCATGTGTTACCTCAGACTGGCTACTGGGCCACCTAGCTTCTGGGGAGCTCCCCAGCCTTGCCCCTATGCCCTCAGGGACACCTGGGTGGTCTCTGGGTATGCAGAGTAGCCCTGAGGTATGACTTTGCTTTCCAGCATCCCCTGAGCAGCAGAGCCACAGTGTGACCCTGACATTACCCCCACGATCTGACCAGTGCTTCCCAGGAGACAGTCCTGGCTCTGCTTGCATAGGGAAAATTCATAGAGACAGAAAGTTGAGTGGTGATTGGCAGGGGCTGGGGGAAGGAGGAATGAGGAGTTATTGTTCCATCAATATAGTTTGAGATTTACAGGATGAAAAGACTTCTGGAGACTGTTAAAAATGTGAATATGCTTAACACTAATGAACTGTACATTTTAAAATGGTTAAGGTGGTAAATTTATGCATATTTTGCTACAACAATAAAAAATATATTCTTGAGTTAAATGGAAAAAATTTGGGTATTAAGGGATGCAAAAGTATGACAGATTTTGCTAAACATGATGATAGCATAGTCAGAGACCAACTGGCCTGTCAAAGTATACTGGTCTAAAATGACCCTGTGACTTGAGGATTTGAAATACCTAGCAAATTAGGAGAGAAAAATTTAAAAGGTTATATAAAGTAAATGTGACCATATATTATTAGTTGCTAAATCAGAGATCATTTCGTCTCTATTTTTGTGTGGTTTAATCATAAAAAGAACTGTTTCATCCAGGGGTGGTGGCACATGCCTGAAATCTCAGTAACTCTGGAGGCTGAGGCAGGAGGATTGTAAGTTTGAGGTCGACCTCAGCAAGTTAGCAAGGCTCTAAGCAATTTAGTGAGACTTTGTCTCAAATTAAAAAGCCTGAGGATGTGACTTAGTGGTAAAGTGCCTCTGGGTTAATCCCCAATACAAAGAAAGAAAAGGAAAGAAAAAAGAAATGTTTTAAATTGAAAATCACATAGTCCATTTAAACAAATATCTCTCTTGCTGATTTTTCCCTAAAGTAGATAGACTAAAATCATTAATTAGGAATGAAAGATATAGAAAACAATCTTTTCCTACCTGGTGGTGAAATGGAGGGGAAGTTTGAAAATATCTTCTGAGACATCTGAATATCTCACTATGGCAATTGTTTTTTCATTCATAAATTTAAAAGCTTGCAAAAAGTGTCCCCCAAATACATTTTTTAAGTCAAATATTTTCCTCCAACTTTTTAGCTTAGACTCTCAGAAGTGAGAACTTGGAGCCAGAAGGACCAGATCCCCTGACCCTGGGATCCTCAACAATCACTCTGGGACCCTTGCATGTAGCCAAGGAGAATTTTGCTCCTCAGCTGGCCCCAGATCCAGGAATGGACTTCTTTCTCACCAAAGCAGGAACAGCCCATTTGGGCCTGTGGTGGATGGAGAAATTTGAGTGGTGGGATTGGGACTTGGTAAACAGTGGCAGCTGAAGAATGCCTGTTCAGACCAGGTAAGAGTGGACTCCTAATTTCCCAAGGTGCACTTAGAGTCATTAAGCACAGCACAGCCAGGGCCCCTAGGCTGTGTGTGTGGTAGGAGAAGCGGGATCTCACTATCAGTTCAGCAGAATGGCCAGCTGCTGTTTGCTGGATGATGCAGAATAAATGCTGTAAACCCCCCCCAGGACTTTTGTTTTGGGGGCAATCACTATTTCCTCTGGAGTATACTATGAAAACACCTTCAACATTATTTATAATACAAACAATCTCTGAAAGAAGGAGAGAAGATGGAATGGTTAGGAACCCTGGGACTTGTGAGGACAGGCAAGGTTACCAGATTTTATTTTCTCCTCAGAGTGCACTACAGAAGGCAACAACCCAGAAAGTAATTAGTACAAGGGGAGAAAGGAAAGTCTGCTCTTTCTAGCCAAAGGACCAGAAAAGGACTAGGAAGGAAGGAAGCAGGGAGGGGAGAGAAAGAGAGAGAGGGGGAGGGAGGGAGGGAGGGAGGAAGGAAAGAAGGAATGGAGGGAGGGAGGAAATTTTAGACATTAACCATTCTACTCCAACAGAGCCATAGAAGAAAATGGCCCTACTACCTGCACTCAGCCAGCCAAGGCTGAATGGGGAGCCTACAGGTTGCTCTGCTCCCCTTGCTGGAGTGTCAGAGGAGGGCTGGGGAAGAGTAGGCTTTCACAGCTGCTCAGCAGTAGTATGCTGCCCCAAGGCTTAATGGAACCCACTTGGGGAGCAATGGCAAGGCATCCCCCTCACCTCCACCACACTGGTGTCAGTAGGGACAGAGTAGGTCCTCTGAGCAGCACCACTCTTCCCCAGCAGGAACAAGGTACCTTTCCCCCTACTTCACAGCTCTGTCCTGGGATGTCACCTAAGGAAACGACCCTCTCCCTGACCTGACAGCATTGTTCTCAGAGACCACTAGCAAAAACGGAACCTTAAAATAAGCTCCAGAGTCTCAGAACAGAATAAAACAGGACCTGGGTTCCATCCCCAGGATCATAAAAACACAAACACAACAAAACCACCAAGCCAGGTGTGATAGTGCAGCCCTGTAATCCCAGCTACTCTGAGGCAGAGGCAGGAGGCTGAGGCAGGAGGATCACAAGTTTGAAGCCAGCCACAGCAACTTAGTGAGACCCTATCCCAAAATAAAATAGAAAAGACTGAGGATGTATCTCAGTTCTTGGCCTGGCATGGAGGAAACTGTGGGTTTGATCACTAGTACCACAAATCTTCATCATCGTCATCATCATCAACTAGGCAAAACAATAGAAGATACAAAGAACTAAATTGATATTTTAGACCTTAGAGTAAAATAAGCAAAATAAAAACCTCACTGGATGGGGTTCTACTGCAAATGGATACAGAGGAAAGAATCCATGAACTTGAGGATAGAATAGTAGGAAGAACCCAATCAAAACAACAGAAAGAACATAGACTGGGAAAAAAATTAACAGTCTGTAATATGTGTGCCATCAGAGTCTCAAAAGGAGAGGGAAAATACATTAGAGCTAAAATAAGTGCTCAAGTATGGTTGAGGATTTGGAAGTATCACAAGAGACAGAAATAATGAAGAGACAGAAATTCCAACCATGATGAAGTCAAAGAAATCCAGACCGAGACCAGCTTTGAAAACTGAAGACAAAGAAAAAAATTTTTTCAAAGCAGCCTGTGACAAATGATGTCTTTGAAATATTCCAATAATCTCATATTTACATTTGGCAGCTGTGGGGATGAGAAAACAGGGGCTCAATATCACTCAAGTGCTGGGAAGAAGGAATTGGCAATTCAAAATCCTTCACCCAGTGAAAACAGTCTTTAGAAATGAAGAGGAAATCCAGACATTCTCAGATGGAAATCTGCAAGAATTGCCAATAGCAGACCTATCCTAAGAGCTACAGTAAATTCTTGAAGCAGAAAGGTAAAGATAAGAGGAGGACTCTTAGAACATTAAGAAAGACGAACTAAGGAAAGAGTAAAAATAGGAGCAAGTCCAAAGTCCTTTCCCTTCCTAGATGGT